ATACCTAGCCTGTCTCTAGCATGCAATAATATCTCATAAAGTGCATCATACATATCTCATAACACAAAAAAAAAATAAGGGTATTTTGGGAAATCACCGTTCGGGCTCTGGCTGATTGTACACACTGCTCCTTCTCGCTTTCTCTTTAAACTCTTATTCATTTTTTTTTAGAAAATTATTTCCTTAAAAATTTTCTTACTTCCTCAGTTTGAGTCCAGATTTACCCGAAGGCGCATCCGAATCCCTCAAACCAAGGCTCTGATACCAACTTGTAACACCGTAAATTTCCAGACAAATTTTTCATTTAAAATAATCATTTTATTCTTAGAAACACTTGTTTAAAATCTCATTCATAGTCGATTTATAAAACATGACTCCATTTTCACTTGCATAAAAAACCAGGATCCTCCAAAATATGACTCTTTCTCTGGTGTGTACAATCAAGCCGGTGCCGTCCCGTGATACTGAAAGAAACCTGAAAAAAACATCACACAAAACACTGTAAGCACGAAGCTTAGTGAGTTCCCCAAAATACCACACATAACACATATTAGCCACTCGAGGCTATAACTCTATGGGTCCGTGCACCCAAACTCTGTGAACCCTCAGGTTCTAACTCTGGGAACCTTCCGGTTCCAACTCTATAAACATGCACAGCATAAATCACATAGAATAATGCAGTACAACACATCACGTACATATAGCATACAAATACTCTGATCACATAACTCTGGTTACCTACTCAAGGTAAAGTATAGTGAGAAGACTCACCTGCAAACAAAAGCAGATATCCCCACACTTGAATCTCGAACCGCCACCGCCTAACACGTAAGGCAAATACTCTCATGAATATAACACTCGAGACTAGAATCAACCCTATCATGGCACCCTCTTAAGGGTAAAGACTATTTTACCCCTCTCTTGGCCCAAAGGCCACATCGCTGACCAAGCCCTAAAAGTCAACGGTCAACTCTTGGTCTAGTCAAAGTCCTCCGTCAAAGTCAACCTCCTGGTTGACCCTGCTCGCCGAGTCAACCCGTCGACTCGTCGAGTCCCTGTTCAGAACTTCCCCAATCCGCGACTCAACTCGCCGAGTCACCCCGAGACTCGCCGAGTCCCACAACTCTGAGTCCACTCACACAACTCACCGAGTCATCCCTTGACTCACCGATTCTCGACTCAACCAGGAAATATTTGGGACTCTTCGACAAGACTCGTCGAGTCCAAGAACAGACTCGCCGAGTCTACGGCTATCTTCAACCTACTCGCCGAGTTGTTCATACAACTCGTCGAGTTCCAGGCCATCTTCATCCAACTCGTCGAGTCCACCCATGTGACTCGCCGAGTACCACCGGTCTGAATCCATTCAGAAGCACTCCAGGCCATGCAATTGATCCAAAACATAGATCTAGCCTCCTACAACCATCCATCACGTAAAGTGGCAAACTTTACGTGAATCCAAGAGATCTAAGCCGTTTGCACATTAGGGCTAGGATTTGGGACAAGATGGCTCCATCAACCACTCACAAACAGGGACTTTCATGCACTCTAGACCTTCTCCCTTCCAGATCTGAGGTAGCAACCTCAGATCTAACCTCTAAACTCCAATACATCCAAAGATATGATCTCCAACACCCCCAAAATGATGCATCTAAGAAATAGCAACTCAAAAAAACGAGATATTACCTCAAAGGAATGCCCCAACTGAAATGAGACTCGAATCCAAACAAAGCTCCTTGCTCCAAGCCTTCAATCTCCCAAAATTCCTTCACAATTACTTCTCCAAGCTCCAATCCATTCAACAATGGTGCTTCTTCGTGATTTAGGGTTTTCTGGGGCTCAAGGGGTGATAAAGAGGCTGGGAGGGAAACATAATGATCTTTATATAAGGCTCAACCCCGAGAATTAAGGTTTTCTCCACTTAGCGCCTACTCGCCGAGTCCATTACACTGACTCGCCGAGTCACTCTTTCCCAATTTACTCTTTTATCCCTTCAACTCTACTCTTGATATTTCGGGATGTTACAATATATATATATATATATATATATATATATATATATATATATATATATATATATATATATATGTATATACCATTTGTGTTTGATATATTTGATTTGTTTTTTCACCAGAGCTATGGAGCTCCTCAATAGATTTCAATAAGTCTTGTATACTAAAGTTATGAGCACAAAATATATAGATGTAGATAGTAGTGTTTAAAAGAATTAGTATCAGTAAAACTAATTATTATAACTCACATCTTCTTGACCGTTTTCTTTTCGCGTTGACCGTTTTCTTTTCGCCAAAATGTAAGAACTAGTTATAGGACTCTAGTACGAACTCTTACGTTTATGTGTAAAATAAACTTCAACGAATAAAAAAATACATTTTTTTAAATCGCCTACTTCTTATAACACGTCATCTTCTAAGTTTACGTATTGGATATTTTTATAAGACGTCATCTTCTAAGTTTCTATCTTCTTTGGGCTTTTAATGGGACATTGAAAAACGTTATTGTTCTCCTACTAGTTATAGATGGCACGCATCAAAATACATACGCATCAGGTTCGAAGTTTTTTCCAAAGTGTTGAGTTAATCGGATATTAAATCAAGGGCATTTTAGGAAACTTCCATATTTAAGTTTTATTTTATTGTTTTAGAGTTTGGGTAGGATTCTATTTAAGTTAGTATATATAGTTGTAATAGTTTGTTTTTTTTTAATTGAGTGAGAAACCCACATTTTGGTGAAACCTTTGGAATCAAGTAATTACTTTTTTTGTAGTCATTTTCTTTTTTCCTTGTTGTTCGGCAGCTCTTGCAACACAACACAAGAAAGTTGTATCTTGTTTCTTATCTACACTTGGTATCAAAGCAAAGGTTAAAGAGGGTTGGTTCGAGTAAGGGGTGTAGGCTTCATCCTTTGATCGGAGGCTTGTTCGGGTGGAAGAAACTAACCGGGGAGGTGCGGAATAAACGAACGGAAGAGATCCGTCAAAGCAGGTGACTTTGGATTTGGTTCGTTTTGCAGGTGCAAGAAGACGGTAGAGCGGGGCTGCTTGTTTTCTTGATCGGTGGAATAGATCTCTTCGAACAAGTTTGATCGGAATAGGGTTGAAGCTATAAAAAGGAAGAATGGCAATGAAAGAAGGTTCGATGACATATCAAGTTCCGGTTTTGACTCAAACGAATTATCCGGTGTGGGCGGTCAAAGTCAAGTCGATTATGGATGCACATGGCATATGGGAGACGATCGAACCAAAGGCATTAGGTGAAGCATCAAATCAAAAGAAGTCAAAACAAGCTTTTGCCTTTTTGTTTCAAGCGATACCCGAAGATATGGTGTTGCAAATGGCGAGTTACATTGAACCAAAGAAAGTGTGGGATGGGCTAAAAACACGGTATTTGGGAGTGGATCGGGTGAGAACGGCTCGGCTTGCAACCTTGAAAAGGGAGCTTGAAAGTTTACGCATGAAGGAGGGTGAAATGGTTGATGATTTTGTGACAAAATTATCCGGTTTAGCTTCAAAAACAAGGAGTCTTGGATATGAGCTTGAAGAAGATGATTTGATAAAAAGGTTACTAGATTCGATGCCTAAGTTGTTTCTTCAAATCGTGGCTTTAATAGAGCAATGTTTCGAGTTGGATTCAATGTTATTCGATGAAGCGGTTGGTAAATTGAAGGCGTATGAGGAGCGTATAAGAGGAACCGAGAAAGTGGAGGACACTCAAGGTGGATTGTTGTTGGCTAGTGAGGAAAAATCACATGTTTGTAAGCATTGTGGCAATGGAGGTTCAAATCTGGAAGGTTTTGTACGTGGCCGAGGAAGAGGTCGGGGGTCCGAGAAAAGTCGAGATGGTGAACGTTTCCAACGGAATAAAAGTCACATTAAATGTTACAAATGTGGTGAGCTTGGTCACTATAGCAACAAGTGTCCTAAATGGGAAAAAGAAGAGGCGAGCCTAACCGAAGAGGAATCGGCGTTGTTTTGAACGAGTGGCTCGTATGACAAATCCGATTAAGGGGGTGATTGTTGGGTTAATCGGATATTAAACCAAGGGCATTTTAGGAAAGTTCCATATTTAAGTTTTATTTTATTGTTTTAGAGTTTGGATAGGATTCTATTATACATACTATTAATCCTTAAAAGAATGATGAACAGGAAACTTTTGGGATTTTGATTTTTGCCACAGATTTCTCTGGGTTTTAAACATTTGTCACAAATTTTTTTTTAATGTTACACTTACCTCCCTCTCTTCCACCGCCTTGGCTCATCTTTATCTTTATGTTTCCATCACCATCCTCACCAATGAGATGCAAAAAACTCTTCTCCAACCTTCTTCTATCCTTTCACTTACTGTAATCGATTGGGAGTTTCTTTCATCCAGTTGATGCGTTCGACAAGCAAAAACGCATACCGGCGCTGGTGATGGTGGTGGTGCGATGGCGGTTGTTCATCTTCGCACCAATCCTCAGCCTCCTTCCAGCTTTCTTCACCCAAAATTCAATTTGTACAGGGTTGGTTTCATCAAAATTCGATCCCTCACCCCAGCCCGATTCTAGACCTTAAGTCGAACATCAGGATTAGGGTTTTTTGTTTTGTTGGATTATGGGTCAATCTTCATACAAAATTTGATATTTGGTGCGTGATTTAACACATCCGTTGTTTCATCTGCTCATAATTGCAAATAGAAGGCACTAAAGAACAATAATGGTGAAAAGAAGAAGATAATCAACCATGAGCTTACGTTCAACGTTATGTCCATTAGAATTGGCGTGAACTTCCCAGAGATATGTGTTCTTATTCTCCATCCCCGTCTCGGTTTCTTTTCTAGGTATCTTGTGTACTGCTTCTTTTTAAGATAGACCCGCTTCTTCAAGGGAGCTTTATTGAAATTGGAAGGATTAGAGCCGGGAAGGAGGGAGATGTGGGAACTATTGCTAATGCTAATGCTAATGCTGCTAATGATGGTGAAAAAAATAGCAAAGTAGGCATTAAAATGTGGGAAAAGTTAAGGTCTTACGGTGGTGGGGATACAGTAGATGGTCCGACGGTAGATGTTGGTGGTGTGGCAGTGGAAGAGCAAGAGAAGCGTGGAGAGTGTGGTGGCGATGGACAGGGTAACAATGGGTGGTCGGGTAGATCAAAGTTTGGGATAGAGTTGCCAACACCAAAGGAGATATGCAGAGGCCTTAATGAGTTTGTAATTGGGCAAGAACAGGCTAAAAAGGTACGTGTTTTACTAATTATTATGGGGCGTCAGTTTGTAACGTTCACAGTAGAGTTGTATCAATTGAAATGATTTATCTTTTTGATTTCTGTATTTGTAACGTTTATGCAATATGGACAATCTGACAGGTCCTTTCAGTTGCTGTTTATAACCACCACAAGAGAATTTATCATGCATCTATGCATACAAATCAAGAAACTAAAAACCAAGATGTGGATCATGTTGAGTTAGATAAGAGCAATGTTTTGTTAATGGGTCCAACTAGCTCAGGTTTTCACTTATTTCTTGATTCTCTTTTTTGTTTATCGTATTCAAAATTCTTTTGTTTTGATTGTTATATCATGAATTTGACTGAAAGGATAGGGAAGACATTACTTGCAAAGACCTTAGCTCGAGTAGTGAATGTTCCTTTTGTTATTGCTGATGCTACTACTTTGACACAGGCAGGTTTGATATAAGTTGTACCTTACATCAGATACAAAATTCATGCATGCATGCATGCATGTATGTATGTATGTATGTATGTATGTATGTATGTATGTATGTATGTATGTATGTATGTATGTATGTATGTATGTATGTATGTATGTATGTATGTATGTATGTATGTATGTATGTATGTATGTATGTATGTATGTATGTATGTATGTATGTATGTATGTATGTATGTATGTATGTATGTATGTATGTATGTATGTATGTATGTATGTATGTATGTATGTATGTATGTATGTATGTATGTATGTATGTATGTATGTATGTATGTATGTATGTATGTATGTATGTATGTATGTATGTATGTATGTATGTATGTATGTATGTATGTATGTATGTATGTATGTATGTATGTATGTATGTATGTATGTATGTATGTATGTATGTATGTATGTATGTATGTATGTATGTATGTATGTATGTATGTATGTATGTATGTATGTATGTATGTATGTATGTATGTATGTATGTATGTATGTATGTATGTATGTATGTATGTATGTATGTATGTATGTATGTATGTATGTATGTATGTATGTATGTATGTATGTATGTATGTATGTATGTATGTATGTATGTATGTATGTATGTATGTATGTATGTATGTATGTATGTATGTATGTATGTATGTATGTATGTATGTATGTATGTATGTATGTATGTATGTATGTATGTATGTATGTATGTATGTATGTATGTATGTATGTATGTATGTATGTATGTATGTATGTATGTATGTATGTATGTATGTATGTATGTATGTATGTATGTATGTATGTATGTATGTATGTATGTATGTATGTATGTATGTATGTATGTATGTATGTATGTATGTATGTATGTATGTATGTATGTATGTATGTATGTATGTATGTATGTATGTATCAGTTTCTTGATAATTCATTACCCTCTTATGTAGGCAGGTTATGTTGGAGAAGATGTGGAATCAATATTGTATAAGCTTCTTGTGGTAAGTTATAAATATATAGTTTTGGTCAACATTGACTTTATGCATATACGTGTTGATCATTTGGTGTATTTTGGTTGACTGGATTCAGGCTGCTGACTTCAATGTGGAAGTAGCTCAACAAGGAATTGTGTACATAGATGAAGTTGATAAGATACCTAAAAAGGTCTTGTGTTGTTTGCATTCATGGAAGAAAACTTAGATTTATATATATTTTTTTTATATGTTTTTGGTTAAAATTTATAAATATGTATGCAGGCTGAAAGTTTAAATAGTGGCAAAGATGTATCTGGTGAAAGGGTTCAACAAGCATTGCTCAAAAAGCTTTGAAGGAACTGTGAGTTGTATTGATTCATATGTACATTCTTGATTATTTATTATTTAAAGTTGTAAAGTTTATAAAATTTGATTGTTTATTTTTCAGATTGTTAATGTTCTTGATAATCGAGCTCGAAAGTAGCCTCAGGGTGATGGCATTCAGGTCTTTTATTTGCCTTAATGGCTAATGTCTAATTTACCCTTTTCTTTAAAATACTGATTAGGAATTCATGTTGATTGGAATATTTGCAGGTGGATACTAAAGATATCCTTTTTATATGTGGTGGGGCCTTTGTTGATTTGGAGAAAACCATTTCTGAGAGATTCAGATAGGGAAGATTGTGCGTGAAAGCTGGCATGGACTAATCGGGTCTTATAGGAACATAGGTGCAAATTGAAGCAATTGTTGTTGGTAGGGGAAAGAAATGGTTGGGATTTGAGAAGGTTTGTGGGGTTTTACACATTATTATCATGTTTCTCTGTCAAATTGTCTAAATCTTTCAATAAATGTTTAGTATCTCATTTTTATCATTAATGGGTTTCCGATATCTTGATGTTGAAAACTAGAATAGACATCGATTGGAAAATAAAACAGATAGATGGTTCTTATGTTACCAATCAATATGGATTTCGTATCCTTCATGACCGTAGTAGTAAAGAGGTATGTCGTATATAGACCATATGAGTTTTTTTCCTTTCATAAAAATTTAGAAATTTCTGAATGAATCCTAATTGACTTTGCTTTTTTTTTTCCTTTTCAGATGAGTGAACCTACATTTGGATTTGGATATACTTTGAATTTTATTGTGTATTATCTTCTTTTCTTCCACATTTACTGCAGGTTTTAAGTGTTCTATAACATTTTAATTTTATAAAATGAAGAGATGAAGGGTTGTAATTGATGACTGATTGTGAATTTTTTTGTGTACATGATCAGGAATTGGCACTCAGAAAAGGAATTCTTTCTTCATTTCTATCTTTTATTGAGAATCAGTTTTGATTGATTAAAAATGGTTGGTACTTATAGAGTGGTAAAATGTTAAAAAAAATTTAGTTAATTTCTTCTTTTGTGGAATTGTGTCAATTTTTTTTGTTAGGATCGGGAGCATGGGAAGTTGTTTAGCCTAAAATAACAAATTGATCATAAGGTAATATTTTTTGAGTCTTTAACTTAATTAAATAGCAACAAACATTAGTCCACTTGAATTCAAGAATCCGGCTTTTCTGAGGACAAATTCGTCTTTGTAGCAAGAAATTATATAAAGATTGAATATTTTGTCCCTTTTTAAATAAAACCAACATTCCCTTTTTTGTTTTGATAATCTTTTACATTTTTTTAAATCTGAACACCTTTCTTTCTTCATTCAGATCAATTTCACCCAGCAAGAACGGCATGCTCTTGAAGTCCCTCTTATAGTGGTATTTAGTATGATTAAATTTTTATTAAGAGTTTCATACGTATGACCTAAACTCATTTTCTATCTCCTTAGAGGTGGGGCACTCAATTGGGGCATTTATGTCATTGGAAGTAAATAAAAGAATTCCTGAAAAGGTAATTACAAGAAATAGCAATTTACTTTCTTTATTTATTTCGAAAATAGAGATATATAATCAATAATGATTGGTTCTAATGCAATAGGTTGCTTATTTTATTTCCCTCTTATCCATTTTTAGCAGTGGATGCTGAGTCACAACAACAATCAATTAAAAAGAAAATTTCAAATTTAAAAAAAAAATAAAAAATAAAAAATAAAAAATAAAAAAAAACTTTGGTTTTTAGAGATTAATCTTTCATTCTTTGTCAAATAATATAATATTAAGGATCTTTTTTGTACGATGGAAATCAAGGAAGAGTATCACAAAGGAATGGAATAGATAATTACATTCCATCATCATGTTTATGTTTGTTTGTGATGTGTCTTATCACATATCGTAAATATGTTTGTGTTTGAATCTGATTGTTAGGTTAGAGGAGAGCTGTCAGTTCACAGATGTAAACCAGCACTGGAGTTGGTTGAGTTTTCTGAGCGAATTTCTGAGGAAGAAGTGTCTTCAAATTTAGCTGATGTTGTCTCGCAAATGGCTCAAGATGTGACTGACTCATAAATTTAGTATCTTCAATATTAGAATCTTGTATCATGTATTTAGGTTTCTTGAGTTAAGGGCAATCCAAAAACTTGCTTCTTTTGTTTTGAAAGACAAGCCAGACTTCATGTTTATGGGCCACATACACAACTATTCAATATTGAAGTTGTCAAGTTGATATGTTTTCTAACTTTTTATAAGTTAATTGTTTGTTTATAACAAATATTATGAACTGATTACATTGGTGGTAAACTGGTACCAAGTAAAGAATTAATTACTTTCTAATAAAACCAGTTATTTTAAAGATTAACCTTTCATATATACCATTCTCATGTCAAACCAGAAAATGTAAAGCTTATTTCCAGACTCTCCATCTTGCCTTCTCTGCTGAAAGGTTTTTGTCATTTTCCCAATTATGTTATTGTAAACTGTTTTAGAAATTACGACTCATTATAAACAATATCGAGAATATTTGATAGTTACTTTAGTTAGGCAAGTGAACTTTCATTATAAACAATATCGAGAATATTTGATAGTTACTTTAGTTAGGCAAGTGAACTTTCTGCTTCTTGGTTGTTTTCAGTTGCAAATTCTTAGTATTTTTATCATCTCTCATCGATGTCTTTCTTAATACAAGTAAAAGGGCGATTTCATACTTAATACCTTTCTTTGAGTAAATACTATGCTTTTTGTAGCAACTCATGTGAGTGGAACTGCCCTTGAGGTAGATGACAAATATGGACCGCCTAGATGTTGGGACAAAACTTCATGTTGCAGAAGGATTATCTTGCTGACGGATGAAGGATGGGATTTCTCTCTTTCGTTACATGATTTTTTTCTTCTCAGGGTAAAGCATCTTTGCAAAACAATATAATTATTATAGCATTTGTTATTCTTTTGGTGTAAATTTTATTTGTCTTTTAGATAGATTCTAAAATGATAATTGAAAATTCGGGCAAGTAGTAAACAAACGATTGGACGACTTAACTTGAACGTTTTACAAATTTTCTCACTTCCAATTACATATACAACCTGAAAGAAGAAAAAATAAAATGACTCAGCGCCAACGGGCGCGCATGATTCTCATCTAGTTTCAATTAGTATATATAGTTGTAATAGTTTGTTTTTTTTAATTGAGTGAGAAACCCACATTTTGGTGAAACCTTTGGAATCAAGTAATTACTTTTTTTGTAGTCGTTTTCTTTTTTCCTTGTTGTTCGGTAGCTCTTGCAACACAAGTTGTATCTTGTTCTTATCTACACAAAGCTCTCATCGCCCGTCTACAAGAGGTTGGGAACATTATAGAAGAAGAGGAGTCTCTAATATTTTGTTTATCTTTTGCTTATGTCATGAAGGCGATAAATATCTCGCATACCCTTTTGCTTATCTTTGTTCTCCCCGGCAATATAATCATGTCACTAACAAAAAAAAAAAAATTCAAAGCTACCTTAAAAGCTTGAACAGTTAGCAAATCACAAGCATTGTTGACCAAAATTGGAAATTATGATTTTTATCCAAAATTCTTGTACATGTAAATATACTCTTCTATATAGCAGTCTAAAAAGTCAAACACTCTAACAAATTGTGCCTCAAAACTTGAAGGAAAATAACTCTTGAAAATTTCCATTATAAAATATTTAGCTTATAGACATCAATCAACAAGTGGAAAGATTTGAGCAAACTTGAATAATCCATTTAGTTCATGTTGAATCTGTGTCAACCTGACAAGAAAAAGACGCTTCCTCAATCTGCAATTGATATGTAATGTGTAACCTTAAAATAACCAACATATTAAACACGACAAAATGTAAATTGTTTTCTCAAATTTTTCATGAAATGGTAAATTTGTTCAATGTATTTATTAATTTACCTTTCTTTTAGGACATCCGGTTTTGTTGTGGCCTACTTCCTTACAATAAGAACAAACCTTTTGCTTCTTTCTTTCTCCCTTCACCTTCATGACTTTCTTATGTTGACTACTCTTGTTGACTTTTTCATCAAGGTCAAGGTGTTGCACATGTATTTCAGGTGTACTTAAAGTAACATTAGAAGATACTTCAAAACTACTACATGATTCTAATTCCTTACTGTTGTTTACTTCAGATACCAAACTAGATGCAGATTCTAATTGTATACTCTTTTCTTGAAAACTCTCAATCTTTTCCTTCTTTCTTTCCGCTTGTTCATCCACAAAACTCTCAAGAAACCGATTTAGTTTTCTCATTTCAGGAATTGAATCTCTTGCTTCTTTAATTGCCATGTTGAAATTAGTTTGAACAGACCTTAAGAGTGAACTAATTCCAGTTTCGTCATTCTCTACTCTTCTTTCCACTAACATTGTTGTTCCATTTTGGTTTGACTGGTTTACTTTGACTTTTCTATTTCTCTCTTCATGATTTTGAGATTCTAACTTATCGTTATCAATTGAACTTTCCACCATGCAAATAAGTTCTTCCATGGGTGAACCAATTTCTTGCTTATTTGTCGTTAAATCCTGCAATTTATTACCAAATAAAAAAGACGAATGTCAAAGTCAAAGTCAAACCAACTTTTTTTCTTGATGTGAATTTTTATATATTTTTTTTTAAAAAGTTACATAATAGCAATACAATACCTTGTTCTTTGGATCAGAAGAAATGCCAACTACTTCCTTATGCTTTGAAAATACCCCTTTGGATTTATCTTGCATAATACTACTAAGTTTTGTAATCATTTTTGGACTTTTGGTGACACTTTCTTGTTGTAAATTAATATTAAATGATAGTGGTGGTTGTTTTATATCATGTTTTTTGTTCACAAAACGTTCATTTTCCAGACTACAAGGGTTGACCTTAGTTTGACCAATTCCACACCCCAATGTATTCAAAATGATCTTCCCAAGAGCAAACCTGGTCTCTAGGGAATACCCTTTTTTAAGAAGATCAAAG